GTTAAATATTTAGTTTATAAACTAAGACATTTATAAATGTATGAATCATATGGTGAAAAACTGACTTTGAAAAATAAATCTGTTCTTTTTTTCTTATAAAAGTCTAAATAAAACAAAAATATTGGTGGTAATTTTTGACTGTGTAACTTTACCAACGGCACCTCATACCTTTCTATTTCATTTTATTAACTTTTTCTATTTCTGTCCTTCCTTTTTGTTGTTCAGTCTCTCTTTATAAAAGACATAAATACTGTAGTCGATTTTTATATCTTTGTTTTGGTGCTCAGGCTCCTCCCACCGTTTCTCCGGTCCCGCCTCCATCACCAACGCACCGGCGCCTTCCGGCTCCTCAAAGTGCAGCACTAGAAGACGGAGACGAGTCGGTGGCAGAGACGGCGGACAGCTCCGTCATCATCAGGATGACGCCACGAGAAAAAGGGGAGGAGATTCTGACCGTGGAGGTGGTCGTAGCCGAGGAAGAGGCAGAGGAGGCGATGGAGGATGAGAAAGCAGAGGGATGAGCTGAGAGCTCAGAGACGGTTCCACCTGAGAGGATGTTTGTTGTGTCAGCTGACCAGCTCTTAGGAAACAAAATATTTTATTATAGAGATGATGAATAACAGAGGTTTCTTTGTGTTTTCACACAGTCACTGATCTGAGTTGACATGTGTCAAACTGAAGGCCCGCGGGCAAAATGTGGCCCTCTAGTGACTTCCATACGACCCTGAGTTTCACAGCCCTGTTGTAAAGCAAGTCAAACTGATATCAGAGACCTTTTGACCACTATTCAGATTATTCAGGATCATTTCTAACAATTTTACAGATTATCCAGAATATTTTTTTTACACTTTATAAATATTTAAATTGTGTTTTACTAGTTTCCATTTTCAGGATAAGTTCTCACCAGGTTCCAGATTATTTAAGATATTTTCTAGACTAAATAAAGATGATTCTTAACCAATTTCAGTATTTTCCAGGAATCATTTACAAACCAGTTCCTGAGTCGTTCTGGATCAGTTCTAACGAGCTTCCAGAATTATCAGGATCACTATTTAGAATAATCTCAGATTTCAGGTTGTTTCAGGGTAATTTCTAACAATTTTGCAAATTATCCAGAACAGTTTTTTTACACTTTCTAAATATTTCAAAATAGTTTTAACCAGTTTAAATATTCTTTCATTTAAAAATCAGTTTCCAAATGGTTCTGAGCCAGTTCTAATCAGCTTCCAGAATTATCAGCAAACAGATTCTCATTTATTTAGAATAATTTCTAATCAGATTTCAGATTATTCAAGATCATTTCTGTTCAGTTTCAAAATTATTTAAGATCTTATCTAACTAGACTTCTAACATTTAAAAGAATCTAAATCATTTCCATAAAGTTAGATTTTCCAATTATCATATTATTCAGGATAATTTCTAACTCATTTTGAATTATTCAGAATTATCTTTTATTACCTCTAAACAGAATCATTTCCAGTTTCCAGCAGTGTCAAACTCTTATTCAAGGATTGACGTGTGCTCAACGTTATTTAATGGGACAAATAACCAAATAATGTGCTGCAGAGTTTATTATACAAATATGTAACATATGACATATTTGAGTTTTTACAAAGAGAAAATAAACAAGTTATTATTTATCCTCAATTGCCCCTGAGGAATGGTTTCGATAATATTCAGGATTATTTCAGACATTTTTAATGTTTCGATTCGGTATCTTTACTTTACTTTGAAAAGCTGCTGTTCTTTGTTTTGAAAATGTTTTTGATGATGTAGTTTTGCATTAATTTTTTTAAACATCTATGAATTCAGATTCAATAACTGAATAAATGTTTAAAATCAGTTTTTAATTTTGTTTAGCATGTAGATAAAACATCAACAAATAACAGTTGTGATATATTTTTTGTAATTTTCTGTAAAGTATGTAAAGTTGCTGCACCTCGTCCTGCTCTGAGTTTATATTTTCATGAAATAAAAACAGAATTTGCAGGTTAGCGGGCCGGTTTCTGTATGGAGCTGCCCAAACCTAACAAACAGGACCTTCAAAAAATGTTGAGTTAAAATAAACATAGCTGTTTGTTCCGTGGGATTTTAAAATGTTTAAAAAAATCTGTATTAAAATTTTAATTAAAAAACTTATTGTTAATATTTGCTACTTTGTGATCACTGCAGTTAATGCCCGCTGCCACTCCACAGTGTGGAAAAGGTAGGTTTTAGTTCAGTTTGCTAATTTAACCTGTTAAAATGAAGAACTTAGTTTGATGATTTGTAAATATATTTTTAGATCACAGGGAGTCGAAAACATGCAAGTGTCCTCTACGTAATAGCTGCCATATTAGTCGTTATTGGATAAATGCTACATTTAATGGTGATTACACCCCCCCCCATTCTACTTGCTGCTCCTTATGGGGCTCATAAATACTGTTTCTGGGTCGGGGTTGATTGGGGTTTGGTATTCAGGATGGTTAGGTTCACAGTAAGGTTTGGCTATAAAAATGAATGGAAGTCAATGGAAAGTCCCTGTAAGGATAGAAAGACAATGTGTGTGTGCGTGCACGTGTGTGCGTGTGTGGATCTGTGGATGTGTTTCAGGAAACAGGAAGTGATTGTTGTGTTGGGCAGAGTGAGGAGGAAGCAGAAAAAGAGGGAAACATCAAGAATGTGGGACAGGAAGTCGTAGATTAGAGAGTAGAAGAAGAAACTTTCAGGTCTGAGTTGGTAAATTATTGAGATGTTAAAGATTATAAATGTTTGCAGATTGTTGAAATAAAGGCTAGAGTTCAGTTAGACAAAGAAGGTCAGAGTTTCTAAGCTAAAAATAAATAATTTCAAAAGCTTTAGCTGCAGTTTCACTTCTGATCTCTGTGCAGCACAGAGTTTCTCATTAATATATCCTGTAAACATGTTTCTTGAAAGAAGACTTAAATTTGATGTGGATTTGTGTACTTTTTGTAAGTCAGAAGATGAATCCTGTTTTTCTCCTGTCATTATTCACAAAGCTTTTGGTCAGAAATTAAGAACTGGATAAATCTTAAACTTAACATTCCCTCTTTTGATGTGGACATTTTGTTTTATGTGGATAATTTAAGTTCTTCCTTCTCTGATGACATAAATGTAGTCATACTTTTAGCAAAATACCATATAGTGGAGAGATACCAAGCCCTCCTTCCCCTGTTTTACGAACGAATTTAAAGTATACTTTTCTTCATTAAGTGCATTAAAAAAACTGGAAAACAGCTAAAATCATCTCACTGCAGATCTCTACATATTTACTGTTTTAACATTCTCACTGTTTTATTTTGCTCAGTTGTTTTTCCTGTAATATCCTTTAGCTGGCCCCCTAACATGTAGTTTGTAGTTTTATTATTTTTATTACCCTTCACGAGAGTTGTATCATTTGTTGTTCTGTTTTTATACTGTTAATTAAAGAAAAGTTTTGCATTAAATCAGAGTGCTTACAGGACTCCACTTCCCAGAGTTCAATGCTTCAGAAAGCTCTGAAAAAACTGAAACTGTTTTTTTTTTAAATCTTATTTTGTGTAATTCTACTGAAGTGCTGTGAAAACCTCCTGGTCTACAGGTGGAACCTACTGATGACCTGAAAGACAAACAGAAGAATGAGTTCATGAAACTGCACGTCTTTTCTGCACTCAGGATCCACATGACGCATCACTCCGAACACATCAGCTTTACCTGGTGATGACTTCTTAAGGCACCCTCGGGGTAGGAGCTGGCTCGCCCCCGATCAGTCAGGGAACTGAATGTCGGCTCGCTTACCAGTCATTGGCGAACAGGTGTTTTCCAGGTAACTTTCGTCTGTTTCAGTCCAAGCCAGAAAAATTCAAGCTGTATCCGGTCCCTTCTTTCCAAAACAAAATCTCCCCACGGGAGGTGAAAACACACTTTAGAGGCTTGAAGCCTCGGGATGAGACCGGCTGGCGTGCCGGCTCCCTGGCTGTTAAGTCTTCCCTAGTTAGCTCATGGGCTCAGACTTAAAAGCCAAACTGGGTTTTTCTCCAGAGAGAAACCCAGCTTTCTTCCTCGGTTGGAGTCAGGAAGAAGAGTGTGTCGCTCAAAGCCGTCCGGGTTAGTAAAAGAAACGGACGAACTTTGGTTCCGCCCTCGGGCTTAGAGATGAGTCAGAGAAAGAAAGATAAAAGATTTGCCAGGGCGCCAGCCCAAGGTTAAAATTCTGTGGTTGTTCAACAACATGATATGATAACCTCTTTTCAGCTTTCTTCTGATAGACTCTAAGAGAAATCACTGCAAAACATTTATGATGATTAATTAACATTTCTGTTTATAATCAGTTCTGAACCTTCTGTTAATCCAGATAAATGAAAGATTTTCTCAGGAAAAATCCACAATTATATTACTGTGTTCACAGTAAAATAAAAACAGTAATTTAGATAAAAACACAATGAAAACATTGTAATCAGATTCTCTGTGATTTTTTATACCATTATTAATCTTTTAGGCACGATAAAAGCAAAGAAGTGGTTCCACTTTTCCTGTGACAATCATTATCATGATWTAACAAATGCATAAACATTCTTAGTTAAACAACAAATGAATCACGAACAGAAGAGATTGTTCTGTCCATTATCTGATTAAGAGAACTGAGAGGTTCTCTTCCACGGTTAGAATGACCTGTCATGGCCTAAATAGAGTTCAGTTTGTGACAGAGTTCCTGTCCTCTCGTCAGGCCTGTCCGAGGCAGTAAATCTTGTTTCTTCACTCGAGGTGACCCCTACAGATGATGATGATGCTCTGAAACAGTTTGGGTTTTGTTGGAAAAGTAACACCTGAGAAACTAAACAAATATTCATGTGAATGAGAAATCCTCTCCTGGTGGGTTTGAAATAATTCTGTTTCAGCTGGATCCAAAACATCATCATCATCAGATTATTTAAATTCATTTATATTCACATATAACATCATTTGGAAATTTCAAACTCTTTGAGAAAACCAGTGCTGTATAAAGTACCTGAAAGTGATACTTGAGTAAAAGTACAAGTATCTTATCATAAAAATACTTAGGTAAAAGTTAAAGTCTTCTCTAAAAATATTACTTGAGTAAAAGTCTTAAAGTATCTGATATTTTTTGTACTTAAATTTCTGACTCAAAATCTACTTAAGTATTAAAAGTAAAAGTACTGAGTAAAAGTGAGCAGTTAGATTTTACAAAAGGACATTTATTGGGAGGTGACTTCTCCAAAAACTATATTTTCTAACAGCGTGCAGCTGTGATGGGTTGTGTACAAGCTAATAGTGTGTCAGAATGGTATATATTTATACTTCTCATCCAAACACAATTAAATTCACTCTATAGGAGACACAGTTTATCAGGAGAGGATTTTTATAAGTAACAACTCAGAATAAAACAGGAGTAACAACTTTCTACTTCTTACATTTTTTAAAAAATGTAATGAGTAGAAAGTACAGATAATTGTGTAAAAAATGTAATGAGTAAAAGTAAAAAGTAGAGGTCCTACGCTGAAAAATAATTACTCAAGTAAAGTACAGATAACCAAAATTTCTACTTAAGTACAGTAAGTATTTATACTTAGTTATAAAGTAACTTAGTACAAATACTTACTGTACAGATAACCAAAATTTCTACTCAAGTACAGTAAGTATTTGTACTTAGTTACTTTATAACTCTGGATAAAACACGTGACTCGTGTGTCCTCACGTGACCAGCCCTCTTTTTTTTTTTTTTAAATAAAATCTGTGATGTTTCCGCCCACACTTCCGCTTGTCCGACGGTCCGTGAAGGCAGCACGGTCTGCCTGTAAACGTGTAACGGTGTGAAGCTCCGCTGCAAACAACCCGCTAACATCCCGGAAATAACCCGGAAACAACCCGGAAACGCTGCGTTTCGGCGGCGGACCGTCAGTCCGGACAGCTGAGGGGTCTCCGCGGGAGGAAGAAGAGGAGGAAGAGCCGGCGGGACCAGCAGGAGGTGAGGACCACTCCGTTTGAAAACTGTCCTCTCGTTTGGGTCCCGGCAGAACCGGGTCCTCTGTGTGTGCGCGCGCGAGTGTGTGTGCGCGCGCGTGTGGTTCTGTCCCGGATAAAACCGGAGCTTCCAGCAGCTTCTCGGCTCTTTTTTGTCAGAACAAACAAAAGTTCTGGCCTCACCTGGTCCCGCTGTTGGTTTCCATGGTGATGGTGACGTCATCGACGGTGCCGGTGATCAGATTAGGTTTTTTTTTGTTTTGTTTTCCCATCAGTCCTGATCTGTGCAGGTATGCTGGGAAACCCTGTCCTGTAGAAATGAGCTGTTCTGAGCTCCTGGATGAATGATCGTCCTGATTCTAAACAAATCCAACATTTTAACTGTCCTGGTGCATACCTGTGGACAGGTGGGGACAGGTGTCCACACCTGTGGACAGGTGGGGACAGGTGTCCACCTGGTCCGTCCTGAAGCAGGAACACATTTTGTGCTAACACTCAGAGCTGTGTTAAAGGGAAGATGTGGGCTGTTAGTTTGTGGAACGGTCTTGATGGTGACATAAAACTGTCAAAATCTACTTTTTTTATTAAAAAAAACTTGTAAATTACTAAGATGAAGCGTTTCAGGGGTTCTTAACCTTTTTGACCTCAGGGCCCAATCTGTTGAAGATAAGGCCCAGTCAGACATTACTAATGTATGGATCAAAAT